CTTTGGTCAGTTTCAGTATCAGACCATCCTTCCAGACCGTGTCATATACTGCTGACAGAACAATGAAAGCAGTATCGGTCTTGAGTTTTTGTTGGAATCCAGCACCGATGCTTGTAGTGAGGGCCAGGAACTAGTCACAGCAACTTTTATGCAGACGAAAACCAGCGTGGTCCTTAGGTAGGCTGGTGTCCCCAGTGGGCCTGATTTGGTTCAGACTCATATGCTCCATCACCTTGTAGATTGTGTTCAGAAAGGAGATGGGCCTATAACTAGAAGGATAATCTGCAGGTTTTCCAGGTTTTAGGGGTGCAATGTCCTTGGCTTCTCTCCATATGCAGGGGATTTCACTGGTCTCCTGGATATTTGTGAAAAGCTCCATCATTCATTTCTGTGCCAGTGGACCCAGATATAGGAAATCAGGATAGATAGCATCTTTCCCTGCTGCCTTTCTGAATTTCCTGGCTGCAAGGGCTGCATCGATATCTTTACTTGTGAATGGTCCAGACCATTGGGAAGATGGATTGCATGTGGATATCACTTGCTAAAGTTGATGCTGGACTTCTTTGTGATACTGTTTGTCCACTGGCTATTTTGATGTCCACAAAAGTTTAGCACCAGTGGCATTGGCTTTCACTTGTGGCCTAGTGGCATGTGTGGGTTTGCAGCCCCCAGGTGTCTCAGCAAGATCCAGGCGCATCTGCTTGAGTGTGTGAAGTTTAGACCTACACAGCCAAGCCACCGTTTCTGCCTTGCTGCATCCAGTGACAGTAGAAGGGTCTCTACGCTCATATTTGTGGAGAAGTTTTTGCAAGGAGTGTACAATGACGTGTCCTTGGAGGACATTCTTCTTTGTAGTGGAGATTAGGAGTGCAGTAAAATGGTCACAAGTGTTCGCCATTGGGGGAATGTGGGAGATTGTGTTCTCCACGGTCATAGAGAAAGTGGTCCAGTCTGCTTTTTGAATTTCCAGTGCAGTGCTGGTTTTGAGTAGAGAACTGGACTTTGAATGCCAATATGGTCAGTACTGGTCTGTGCATGCAGTTTGGGAAGTCATCAAGGATGATCCGTGATGGGGGTATCAGCGTACTTGTATCATCTTTAGAGATGAACATCAGGTCAGGGCAGTATCCTCTGTCCTATCTTGCAGAGGGGAAAGTGATGCACTGTTTCGCATCAAAAAGGAGGAGCATATCCTTTGCTGATGCCCACTGATCAGTTCTTTACCTGCAGTGTTGTTTGCTGCATAGCCCCATTGTGTGCGGTGCCTATTAAAGTCACTGAAAAAATACAGCAGGGTCCTGGGCGTGCTGCAGAGCTGATTGAGGCCTCTGTGCACCAGGTGATTCCTGCTGTAACATTTGATGAAACACCACCAAAATCGGAAATGGAAAACTAGTTTTTATAGTTAGCCCTGAAACTGAATCATAATTTGTCCACAAACACCAAAAACAAATTAAAAACTGGAAACCCTCTTTGCAGTTTAGATTGTGGAAGTGTAACTGTGTTGGTATTTACTTATTTGGTCTGAAATCAACCGAATGAAGTTCTGTAAAGACAAGTGCAAAATACTACTTAGGAAGGAAAAAATCAAATGCACAACAACAAAATGGAGAGCAACTGGCTAGCCACAGGTACTGCTGAAAAGGATCGTGGGGTTATAGTGGATCGCAAATTGAACGTAATTCAGTTGTGAAAAAGGCTAGTATCCTTTTGGGATGTATTAACAAAGTGTCAGTTACCCAAGAGTAATTGTTGTCCTCTACTCAGCACTAGTGAGGCCTCTGCTAAAGTATTGTGTCCAATTCTGGGCCCCACATTTTAAGAAAGATAAGTTGGAGAGAGTCCAGAGGACAGCATCAAAAATGATAAGAAGTTAGAAAACCTGACATGTGAGGAGAGATTAAAAAAAACTGGGCATGTTTAATTTTGAGAAAAGAAGACTGAGGGGGGGACCTGACAACAATCTTCGAGAATGTTAAGGGCTGTTACAAAAAGGACGGTGATTAGTTGTTCTCCATGTTCACTGAAGGTAGGACAGGAAGTAATGGGCTTAATCTGCAGCAAGGGAGATTTAGGTTAGATATTAGCAAAAACTTTTTAGATGTAAGGATAGTTAAGCACTAGAATAGGCTTCAAAGGGAAGTTGTGGCATCCCTGTTATTGGAGATTTTTAAGAACAGGTTAGCCAAACACCTGTATGGGAGGGTTCAGGTATACTTGGTCCTGCCTCAGCATTGGGGGCTGGACTAGAGGGCTTCTCAAGGTTCCTTCCAGCCATACATTTCTATATATAGAACCACTATATATAGAACTATCACCACCTACTATGAAGGCCCTTTGAGGCCTACGAGGTGTTCTCTCAAAAACAAAGTTTAATGTGTTAGTGCAAACTCCTACAAATATAATTTTAAAATGACATGCTGCAGCCGGGGAAGATGCACTCCTCCTCCGGCCCGAACCCAGCCTGCCCTGTACCTGCTGCAGCTGGGGGAGAGGTGCTCCTCCCCGGTCCCTGCCCAGCCCCAGCCTGGACCTGCTGCGGCCGTGGGAAAGGCGCCTATCTTGTGGCCCCAGCCCCAGAGCTGCCATGGCGGGGAGAGGCACCCTTCCCATCCCAGCCCAGGTGCTGCTGTGGGGGGAGAGAGCTGGGGGGAATCCTCTCTCCCTGCCATAGCCCAGGGACAGCCTGCACACCAAACCGCTCATCCCTGGCCCCACCCCAGAGCTCGCACCTCCAGCCAGAGCCTTCACTCCCCCAATCTCCTGTCCCAGTCCTGAGCTCCTCATCCCTGGCCCCACCCCAGAGCCCACACCACCCAGCCAGAGCCCTCATCCCTCCGCACCTCAGCCACAGCCCTGAGCCCCCTCCCACACTCTGAAACCCTCAGCCCAGCCCTGACACATGAATTTTGTTATGTGCACCGATATGGAGGTGATGTGTGACGCATCACATCCATTTTGGTGCACATAACAAAATTCATTCCACACATAGGTGGGAAAAATTAAAGGAAACATGGCTTGTAGGCACTTCAATAATTCAAATAATAAATAGTAATAACAACATGACCGAATTTCTGTTTTTTCAGTTCATTTTTTTTTAAACCTAAGAAATCACATGCAAAGAAAACTGCATTAAAAGAATGGTAAGGTTGCAAAGTCCAGCACTCAACTGCTAGGAAATGCCAGAATTAAGGTTGTTTGTTCAACTTAATTTGTTCCTTTGTGCATATGCATTATGATACAGTATATAAATCCATGATCACATGCTATTTTTTCCACAGGACCCCCACCTCATTCAGTGCACAAGATGGACGGTGCTCAATTAATAAGCATCAGTTCAGTTTTTCATTTTATTCTTGTGCATTGTGTCACCCATGCCTTATTTACGACCCACTACTAAAAACCTACTATAGCATGAGTGCTTCACAAACATGAATTGATTTATCGTCACAACACCACTGTAAAGTAATGCAGTATTATGCCTGTTTTACAGATGTAGAGTTAAGGCACAGAGATAATATCAAAAGTACACACTAATTTTGGTGGCCAATTGATGAGATGCCCATGGCCTGATTTTTCTGATACCATTTGATAGCATTTCATTTATTCATAGCATATCTCCCATTGACTTTAATTGCCTTTAAGTGCTCAGTACTTCTGTAAATCAGAGACCCCAGGGACTCAAGCTGGGCTCCTAGAAAAAATTAGGAACACAATGGCCAGCTATGAAAAGTTTGCTTTAAGGGTCTTGCATAGCATCACATCAGAAGTCTGTGGCAGAGGCAGGAGTAAAATCTGATTCTCCAGAATGGCTTTCAGCTACCTTAACCACAAAATCATCCTTTCTGCTCTGCCTCATTCATGACACAGCTTCCAACTTGGGAACAAATGAGACATTGTTCCTACAGATAACAGCCTCACTCACTACACAGCTCTGATTCATTCTCTGAGGACCATCCAGCCTCTGCACTGAATAAGGCAGGGGTCCTGTGGAAAAAATAGTCAGTGATTATGAGAATCAAAAACTGTTTTGTGATGCACATACACAAAGGGGTGAATGAAGGTTGTTGCATGAGCAACCTTAATTTTGATGTTTCCTAACTTTTGAGTGTTTGACTTTGCAACTGTAACGTTCTTTTAAAGTAATTTTTGTATTTACTTTGTATATATAAATTGAATTTGTATTTATATTGTGTATATATAGGCTCATATTTTCAGTGGGTGTTCAATAATATCCAATGTTAGCAGTATTGTCTGTTTTGTGCATGCAAAAAACCTTAATTTGTGTGCACAGACATGGGTTGTATCTGCAAAGCTTAAGCATATAATTGAGTAGTACAGGGCAAAACTTTTGTTTGTAAGGTTTTTTGAAATTACAAAAACAAATGTGAATGGAAATATTTTCAAGTGAATTTTTAATGAAAACCAGGTGATGGATTTTAAACATTCTCTAGCAGTGCTGGAAACCTGAACACAGTGCAATACCTATATTGTAAGCTCTTTGAGGGCAGAGACTCTTTTTGTTATGTATTTGTGCAGTGTCTCACACAGTGCAATGCTGTTCCAGAGTTTGGGCTCCTAGGTGCTACCTCTGTACAAATAATATAAATTATTAATACTACTGTTAATAATTATTAAAAGAATATATATTATTATTGGGTTTGTGGTACATGAAAATGTATTGGTGAAATACATTGTAGGTTAGTTTTACTATCCATGCTGAATAAAGTGTAAAAGTAAAGTAATAGGATCAGTTGAGAACAAGTAAACTAGACAGAAAAAAAATCTTCCAGGTCTAATAACTTGCAGCACAGTGTTGTTAGTAACAGAGACTAAATGAAGATTTTAGAGAAATATGATTTTTATTCTGACATTGGTCCTCTATGCTTGGAAGAATCATCTTAAAGCCTTTGTGTACTTATTTATGAAAATATATATTGTGTAACATACCATGATTAGTAAAGAAGATCAACATTTTTCTTTTCTTTTAATCCTTCTAGCCTTCAGGAAAAAGAACAGTCACTTAGCATGTCCATTAAAGAAACGACTGCCAAAGTAAGTGCATATCGGCTATCATTTTTTCAGTACATTTAAGAAACAAAGATAATGCATTACTTTTTAAATATAATATTCTGTCTTTTGAAAGGCCAAATGTAGGGTATTTCTTCTGAATATGTTTCACATATAAATATTCTTAATATCTGTTTTAAAAAGAAATCTAAACCTGGTCAAGGCATTAAAAAATGTTAGTGTGTCTGCCAAAGGAAGCAGGTGGAATGGTTCATTAAATGTAGTATTTCTTGGCTCATGTTCACAATAGAAACCAATCTGTTGGCCTCCAGCTTAGAAAAGAACTGTCAGCTTTATGAAATGAAAGTGAAATCTGGTCACAATTGAATGTCTTCTTTCTCAGGAAAAAAGCCATTTTCTCATATTCGTTTCACTGGTGTAAATCCAGAGTGACTCCATTGAATTCCGCGATGTTACTCATGATTTACAATAGTGCAAATGGAAATCAGAATCAGGCCCAGGGTAATTATGATAAATGAATTACATTTTCATCCCAGCTGGGTAAAGTTTAGATATACTCGCACATACTAAAAAAAAAAAAAAAAGAATCATATAGTGCATCATAGTTTCCAGGACACTTAATGGACTTGAGAATTGTATTTTCTCCTGTTGACTTTCATTTATATCATCTCCATTAGGTCCTGATTCTGCAAACACTTATGCAGTTGCTTAAATATAAGCATATAAATTCTCCCACTGACTAATGTTACTGTCTCATATAGATTTGAGGCTTCCTTTTCAAACGTCAGTGCCTTAAATAGTATGTACAAAATACTGATTTGTGGCTACAAACTGGGGTAATTGTGTGCAGGAAATATGCTGTTACTCATGCAAGCACTCACTTGCACATACATTTGCCTGTTTTGCTCGTGTATGCAAAATATGCAGGCGCATAAGTCTGTTTGTGCTCACTGGCACATACTTTGTATATGAAGTATATGCATAATATTTGTTTTAGCATTTGTGGCCTATAATATTTAACAAATGTAGATATTTATACTGTTATTTTTTTTTGTGGGAAGTTTTTGGTACTCCTCTCACCAAAGGCATAATTATTCCAGTAATTCCTCCAAACCCTGTAAATATAAAGAATAGGAGGAGTGTGAAACTTTTGGGTTACTACTGTTGCTTTCATCTGAGATACTGCTGCTACTCTCTTTCTTAAATCTGATTGTCAGTTTCTTGTTTTCCATATCCTTCAGTCACTAGAAAGAATGTAGTGGTTCCTTATGCCATAATGGATCAATGATCCATTAGTCTCTCTGGTCACTGTCAGAGAAATGCTTTGGATGAAGAGTTAAAATGGCCTTAATGTGCTTAATTCCACAATGCTATAAAATGTGAGGGGAAATTCCTTCCTGATTTTGGCCAATATTTGGTTTATATTCTGAAACACAAAGATTGCAAGTCCATCTCTCTCTCTCTAATATGGTGTAACTCAGCATCTCACCATTTTCCCAAACTTTAGAAAGCTGAATCCACACTTAAGGAAAATGAAATCAGTCGCTCCCCAACAGCTCTGCTCTGTGTTATTAAATGGCAACCTATCTTAATTTATATGTCACTGCATTCCTTCCCCACCCACACTTGGGGAAATGCTGGTGTAGATCTTCATAATATGATGATATTTCCTTTCCTTTCTTACATGGTTTAATGAGCAGTGATATAGTTAACAGTGGTGACATTTAAGATGTTGTCATTGGCATCTGAGGGCACACCCACTGAAATGAATGGGTCATTTCACACCTCAGAACTATTGCTTCAAGCTCTCTCCAATCTCAGGCAGAAATCACTGATTTGGATACACTTTTTTCACATTTTGAATGTTTACTTTCAACCATAACATCTGGAAACTTTTTAAAATGAAAGCTGAAACCTGATTAACAATTGAGAGGTCTGTCTGTTCTCCACCTTATCCAGATAGTTCATTGCAACTTTATAGGAGGTGTATCACACGCTGTGGGAAACATTGCTGTTACTTCAGATGTTCTTCTTACTCATATTTAAATTCTAATCCTTGTTAAACTAGTAAAATTGTTGTTTGCAATGTTGTTGTAGCTGTGTTGGTCCCAGACTATGAGAGGGACAAGATGGGTTAGGTAATATCTTTTATTGGACCAACTTCTTCTAGTGAAAGAGACAAGCTTCCAATCTCCACAGGGCTGAAGAACATATCTGGAGCTTGAAAGATGGCTCTTTCAGGCTTTGTCTACACTACAGAGTTTTGTCGACACTCAAAAAGCGCTATAATAAAAATCGGTATTGCATGTTCATGCTTGTTCCCTCTGTCAGCAGAGCACGTCCACAGTTGGGACATCTGTGGACTATCCCACAGTCCAGCTCGATACCTTCTGTTGCTAGGTCTTGTGGGAAGACAGAGTGGATCGTGGTGCATCTTGGGACCAGGCTCAATGTCCCATGATGCATTGTTTTCTGTCCCAGCATTCCATGGGCTTCTGGCTTTCTTTCGCAGCATATTTCAATGGCCCTTGTTTGCTGTGCCCCCAGCATCTTTGTGGGAAGGGATGGAACCCGCAGTTCTGATAATTGTCATTAAAACATCACGGATGGCAGTGCAGTTAATCACAAAGTTCTAACTGAAGAAACTCCGAGTTGTCTGACATAGCTGTGTGATATAGAAAGGAGCAACTTTAGATTGCTTTTGGCATTCATGGAACAGCTGCAGACAGTGGACCGTTGCTTTTGGGCTCGGGAAACAAGCACTGAATGGTGGGATTGTATCATCATGCAGATCTGGGATGTCGAGCAATGACTACAGAACTTTTGGATGCGGAAAGCCACCTTCCTGGAATTGTGTGCTGAGCTCGCCCCAACCCTGCGGCACAAGGACACCAGAATGAGAGCTGCCTTTTTGGTAGAGAAACACGTGTCAATCACTGTGTGGAAGCTGGCAACTTCAGACTACTACTGGTCAGTCGCAAATCAATTTGGAGCTGGGAAGTCGACTGTTGGGGCTGCGTTAATGCAAGTGTGCAGGGCAATTAGTTGCATCTTGCTACGAAGGACCATGACTCTGAGAAATGTGTGTATGAAATAGTGGACAGCTTTGCAGAAATGGGTTTCCCTAACTGTGGAGGGATGATAGATGGCACACATATTCTAATTTTGACACCAGACCACCTTGCGACGGAGTACACCAATAGGAAGGGGTACTTCTCCATGGTGTTGTAGGTGCTTGTGGATCACTGGGCATTTCACTGATATCAACGCGGGATGGTCAGGAATGTACATGATGCACACATCTTGAGGAACACCGGCCTGTATAGAAAGCTACAAGTGGGGACTTTCTCTCCAGACCAGAAGATTACAGGGGGAAACGTTGAAATGCCCATAGTGATCCTGGGAGACCCGGCGTACCCCTTACAGTCATGGCTCATGAAACCTTACATGGAAAAACTGCACAGCAGTAACGAGTGGTTCAACAACAGTCTGAGTAGGTGCCGGATGACAGTGGAATGTGCCTTTGGCAGATTAAAGGCACAGTGACAATGCCTTTATAGCAGGTTAGACCTCAATGAGGATAATATTCCCATGGTCATAGCTGTGTGTTGTACATTGCATAATCTTTGTGAAGCTAAGGGTGAAAGGTTTGCTCAGGGGTAGAGTGTTGAGGCAGACCGTTTGGCTGCATATTTTGAGCAGCCAGATACCAGGCCTGTCAGAGGGGGGCAATTTGAATCAGGGAGGCCTTGAGGCAACACTTTGAAAATGAGAACCAGTAATGTATATCTCTGTGATTGGTGCTGCAATGGTATATTACATGTAGTTTTCCTAGGAAGCAATGGTGACATTTGGGGCCTTACATTCCAGTAAGCAAATGATTAAACTGCCTGCATATGTATTGGTAGTGCCTGCTATCTCAATTTGTAGGAAACAAATAAAGATGAGTTACCGTTCAAAAACTTTGCTTTTATTGCACAAGAAACAACACCCACACTTACACACAAGAAACAACATGCACAGGAAATAACATGCAAGCACACAAAAGAGGCTTGGTGGGAAAGGAGGTACCAGGGAAGGGCAAACTTTCAGAGCTGTGTGTAGGTCCAGCTATCCTTTTGAAAATTGTCCAAAGGGGTGGAGTGAAGGGGAAACTGAGAAGTCCCAGAAAGCGGAAAGGACTGTGCGGGCGGTGTTTGGGGGGGGGGCGGCACAGAAAAGAGTTTTGAATCTGCTGCAGGGGAGGGCAGGCATGCATCTGCTCAGTTTAGAGCATCTGCATTTGCTCCTCCATTACTTTAATCATCCGCTCAGTAGTGTCCTTAACAAACGCCTGGTTTTCTTTTCTGTCCTGCCTTTCGGCTTCCCTCCACTCCTTGAGTTCCCTTTTCTCTTCATTGGAGAAGTTCAGTACCTCCCCGAACGTGTCTTCTTTGCTTGGTCTTGGGCACTTTCTTATCTGGCGTAGATACTTGGCCAATGTGTGTAGGGTGTTCCGCAAGGCCACATCTGCTGAAACACAAAGAACAATGCACAGGAGCATGATAGTTAAGTTCACACACGGTATTGAAACATTTCAGTAAAATACACCTCTGGTAACATAACATCGCTTTCTCATTGACCCTTGGCAAGCACACATCGCAGCCAACACCCAAAGCATGGTGAGTGTTAGCTGGGTTGGGGGAGGGGAGGGGGCACTAATTGATGGAAAAGAGCACTCTGCAAGGGTTGCGGTGCACCTGATTAGGGAAAAAATTCTAAAATTCTTCCACACTTTTCCACAGCAGGGGGTCATTATAATAGATATCTCACTGCTGAGGGTAAACAGGGAAGTGAGGGTACATCTACTACATGCTGTGGCTTCCACCATGGTCCCTATGCCGCTCCCCTGTTGTTAGCCCAAAACAGTTTAACTGTGGTCTACACAGATCAGAAGATGGGCTGTCTGCAGATCCCACCCCCTTCCGCATCTATCATCGGATGATTTATTAAGACAGAGGTAGAATAAGATGTAAATCACAAAT